AGAAGAAGCATCCAGAGAAGATAGGACTTCAGGTGAACATAGAGCGAACACAGAGACGATGAAGACTCCTGGCCAACAGTGAAAGCGACAACAACAACAGACAACAGACGACAATCAGCCAGCATAAATGGGAGAAATCTGAAAGAATCAACCACCTTCACATACCTGAAATTCATCGTTCCAACTACAGGCGGACCGAAATGATGAGGATATCAAAGCAGCGAGGATAGCGAAAGTAATGCAAGCTTTCATTTCTCTGAAGTCGGTGTGGAGATCGACAGCACTCAGCATGAAAAAACAAGATTCGGATATTCAACTCCAATGTGAAGTCAGTCAGTGCTACTTACTATACGGATTATAAACTTGGCGCCGCGCCGCGCCGTGTCATGTCACTCAAGGCACTTCGAACAAACTACAGACCTGCATCAACAACTGCCTTCACTCAATACCACTTAAGATCAAGTGGCCGGTCAGAAAAGATCAACAACAGGGAGGGATCTCTGGCAATGAACGAACCAACACAGCAAGAACCAACTCTGCAACAAATTTGGAGGAGGAAACTGAGGTTGATTGGCCATAATTTGAGAAAACAACCCACCAAGTGAGTGACATCACACTCCAGACCATCTGTCGAGTGGAACTCGAACGGGAAGTGGTGAGTTGGTCGTCAGTACGAAGGTGGGTTGACATGGAGAAGGTCATGTGAAGAGGAGATGAAAGCTTGTGGTCAGACATGGAGACAGGGGGTGAAAACGTTGGCAGAGAACCGAAGGCAATGGAGACGTTGGGGCTGAAGCCGTATGTTTCTCTAGGTAGTAAAGGAAACAACAATAATGATAATCAATAGGAAAGAATACATAATGGGTCTTTTGACAGCTCATTCATTATCTTAGATTCAGATTCTAAGGGGTCGCCCATTCTGTTGACCGATGTAATGTCTGCTACAGTTCATACATGCAATTTTATTTTGTAAATGGTATTGATTTTATCCTCTTTTTCTGTTGGATGGATCTTTTGGTTTGCACAATATTGATGAATGAAGTGTGTGTTGTTGGCATAGTGTAAGATTCTTTTGTTTTATACTATGCTGGGGAAAAGCGTCGGTGGCATTGCGGTTAGGACACTCACCGACCATGCATACGATCCGGGGTTCGATCCCCGACAGACGCACTCTTTCACCTCGCTGGCCCAGAAATGATACTGGTAAAGAAGAAAGGTTGGGCATGAGGCTGGCTAGCAACCCCATCCTGTAAAAAATAAACACTGCTACAGAAACTTCAAGCCACTAGCTTGAAGCCCTATGTTCCACTGCGGAACGTGAAGGCTGGCTTGTGTGTTATATCTATTTTAAAAGGTGCACTGACCAATATTAACAAGTATGCTTGTGACTACAACTCATCAGTTTTGTTACTATCCTTTGTAATGAAAATTTCACTGTAAATAAATGCAGTTGTACAACTCAAGGGGAAAATGAATTCTCTGAAATTTAGCCTCTTCACTGAACTACTGGTCTTGTTTTCAATCCTATCTGGATGAGAATTATTCATGTATCAAGAAAGCAAGCAAAAATTACGTGGAACTATATACTAGGGATTGATTGATTGAGTGATTAATTTAGTTGAGTAGTTTTATGCCAACAACCAACAGTAGTACTTGCTACTCAGTGAGATTGGAATGATCGGAATATTGGATTGACGTTTCTTCTGTTTTTTCTTTATCAGTGGCCTTACCAGGGTTTCAGTTCAACTCAGAGAGGCAAATCAGTTCAAATTGGTTAACTGACTACTTGAAAAAGTGGTACCTAGTAGTACAAACTGATATATTACTGTTATTAAGTTGTTTTACACTCATTTGGCTGTGTAAATTGAGTAAAAACAGGTACATCACTGATGACCTCGACTCCAGACGAGTGAAGTGGGTCATCCACTGTATAGATCACCTGGATCTGACTGTCTAACACGGCGAGCTGTCATCTGAACTGGTGACGACCAGTGGTGTCCGTCAAGGATGCCCATTATCCTCTTTTCTATTCAACTTCATCATAGATGTGTTAATGGACTTAACCCTAGGTGACTTCAGCGATTCAGGGATTGACTTGCTTCCTGGGAATAATCTTGTTGGCTTAGAATATGGAGGTGATATAGTCCTTCTAGGCGAAGACGCTGACGAAATACAGAGTCTTCTAAACACCTTGAGCCGCAATCTACGAATGTTTGGCATGCGATTCCCTCCCGCCAAATGCAAGATGATGTCACAGGACTGAACTACATCGACGCCTAGTTTAAAAATAGAAAGTGAAGTGGTAAAGCACGTTGACCGCTTCACTTATTTGGGAAGTACCATCAACCAGAGCCAACGGGTTGATCTCTGACGAAATCTCAGCACGAATACAGGGGCTCGTTTCGCATTTGCCAGTTTACGCCGACTCTGGCGTAGACGAGATGTTCGACTATCGACCAAAGGGCGGGTGTATTGCTCATCAGTCCGCTCTGTCCTCCTTTATGGCTGTGAGTGAGACCTGGCCACTGAGAGTGGAAGACATGAAAAGATTAGCTGTCTTTGATCATAGGTGCCTGCGCTCTATTTCCGGTGTAAAGTGGCATAATAAGGTGAGCAACATTGAGGTTAGGCGTCGAGTTCTAGGTAAACAGGGGAAATCAATCGACGAAGTCGTGAAGTTACAAAGACTGAGATGGTTAGGACATGGGTTACGTATACACGCCTAGTCATCGCCTTCCTCGACAATGGGCAATGTTAGCAGATATAGGGTCAGGCTGGAAAAAAGCTAGCGGCGGTCAAACAAAAACTTGGCATCAGTCAATGAAATCCACAACAGTTGGTCTAAGCCAGCCACGTAGGAAGGTGTAGACTTCCAGGTATGGGTCCTCGGGACGGTAAAAATCTATGGCTGGAAACAATTGGTGACATGGCTCAAAATCGTTCTCAGTGGCTATCGCAGATGCATCCACTCCTTGTGACTTATGATCTCCAATGAAACTGTTTTGTTCTTCGTTATTACTCCTCCTTTGTCTCACACCTCTGCTCACTGTCTCTATTATGCTTTTCTTGTACTTTCTTCTCTTGCTTCGCGTGCTACACGGAGTGTGGCGACTTGAACTTCCGCACATTTGTGCAAAGTTCTATGCCGAAAACAGACAGACAGACTGCTATTTGTTGATGTGATTAGTATACAGTCGCTTATGTTAGCCAATCAATCGTGTATGGTTCTAGTACAACTATTCCTAGTGTTCCAGAGGTTGCATATATATATAATTATACTCTTAAGTTCTGTCGCATTTTCTGCTGTTCTCTTCATTTGGGTTCATAATTCCCTGTAATATATCATCTCCCCTATGTCACCCACCCTCCAACCAACACCCCACTCGTCATTTCTCACTGGGATACCTACCAGTCGAGTCATGACCTGGTTCACGATGTCATTCGACGGTTTCCTCAACACAAAGCCGGTCCATCTCCATCTCCTCTTGCATATTTTGTTGAATGATCGGCTCTTGGTTGGTTTATTCATCACCAGATTTTTTTGCTGGTAATTGTTTCTCGCCGGCTGACCAGCTGGCCATTTGATCTTCAGTGTGGAGGGCTAAAGAAGCGGACAGGTGTTGATGAAAGTCTACAACACGCTGTTGGAAATCCTCAGTGCTAGTTTCTGACACTCATGGAAGCACTGATGGACTGACTGACTAACTTCACATTTGTGTTGAAAATCCGAATCTGATTCTTTATACTGGCTGAGTGCAAAAGATTTCCAAACCCCTTTCAGATAGATGAATGTTGTATCCTGCCTTTTCACTTCTAGCTAGTCCTGTTCCGACTACCTATGGTTGAAACTCTGCTTCCTGACTGCATAAATGAAGAAAGTGATTTCTGTCAAATCTCTCCGTTGATGGTGATTGGTGCTAGTTGCTGCTGCTGTTGTTGTTGTTGTTACTGCCGTTGATTGATTATCCTCATCACCTTCATCTTTAATGTCTTCTCTGAGGGACTCTTCAGCCAGTTTGTTGGTTTTCGTCTGCTAGTCTTCAAGTTTGTATGACATTAAAAACATAAATCTCATTCACACGTGAAATCCAAATCCCTACAAAACCAATACTTGAAAATTAATCTGATACTCACTAGTGACTGGCCCTATTCAGGCAGTTAACCTGGGGTTCTAGTGGGAAGCCATGACCAGTAGGGTACAGCAGGTTGAAGATGAGGCAGTAACTCATCGAAGAAGACATTGCGAAGTGGTCGCGCTATGTCGTGAATTGGCAGAAGTTAGAATTTAAGGACCATTGGATCGGGTCCCAGTGGGTCAATGGTCTACGAGCTCGCCTTGTAACCAGTAGGTCCTGGGTTCGAATCCCGGTGGGTGCGTACTGCTGAAGGGTCCCAAACTGGGACGAAACAGCTGTCTGGCAGTACTCCCAGGTTTCCCAGTGGTTCTCTAACTGATGTCAGCTCATCATGAAATCCTCCATGCAATCAAGCTGAACTTGGCTTGGACATATATAATAGAGGTCATATTTCAATCGATCAGAATAAAGTATACAAGAGAAATTCTATACAACATAATGATGGAGGATCTCTTTCGAATAACCCAAGCTTTAATCAAGTCAACCAGGTGAAAATTTTCTGCAAAACAAGACATTAATCTTTCCCAAAGCCATCTCCATCTGTTTTCAAATACTTTCTTTCTAACAATCCGCTATCATCCCATGTATATTCACTAATTCCTGATTGGTTGACTCCATCATTCTCATTTTAAAGCTTTCCTCTCTTCTGATTGGATCGCAAAATAATAAATCAATACATCCACATAACAGGTTAAACGTTTACCAATGGACAAAAAGAGTAAAAAAGGAATGCGTGGGTGGCATATAGATAATTTGAGACATCTTGTTTTACGTAGGAGCAGAGAGAAAATATAAGAATCATGATGAAGGGAGAAAAAGGTGTGTGTGTGTGTGTGCGTGGGGGGGGGTTGGGATAAGAGAATGGACAGAGAGAGAAAAATCCCCACTCTTCCTCCTCCCCGTGGCCAAATATAAACAAATAAAATCACTTAAAAAGGGAGCATAATTTTACAAATATATTTTCGAGGAAATTATAACAAATAATGATAAATCATAAAACATGTTATCGGCATGAAAGTTATTATCATGGCATTTACACGACACAGATTCTTATTAAGACTTCCAGAGTACCAACCAGATCCCTCTACTTTCATTTGTGCATTGTATGAAGGAGGCATATTAACATCTTGAACTTTAAAAGCCATTTTCCTAATAATAATAATAATATATGCATATTTCTGGGGGAATTTCGCCGAGAAGAACACTTGAAAGATGCCATTTTTGTGTATTTGAGAAAATGAACGCAAAAGAACACAGACAGGAAAGCGACTATTCGCCTTCTTTCTCTGTTTAGTATCCCTACTACTGGACAGAGGGTGGTAGTTTTTGAAAAAAAATTCTCAGTTTAAACACACTCACACACACACGCGCGCATACACACGTGGACGAATACATTTAGATATATATATATATATATAAATTCCTAGAATTTTAAGATATTCACCCATTTATATTACAACAGAATTACAATGGATCTTTTACCTACCTTGTATACAAATCGTTTAGCCTATGGTAGTAACAATAATTCGATTACTGGTACAAGTACAAGTACCGTTACTACTCATAATAATGGTAATTCCGTAGTCAATGTGAACAGCAACACAGAAGTTAATCTTCTCCACGGAAGAGATCCTAACGAGTTGGACGATAACAATTTACCTATGGAATATCATCGTGGAATATACAATTTAAACTATTCACATCATTTCTCTAATAATACTGGCGATAATAACAATAGTAATAATAATAATAACAATAATGATAATAACCAAGTCCAACATCCATATCACCAGCACGACAATCATCCATTGAAACTTCCACGACGACATTTATCTGCTATTCCTAATCCCATGTATCATTATCTTCATTTATTCTACAGGAATCGTGTAGAGACACGACGTAATCGTATAGCTAAAACATTGAGGGAGATTGTTCAAATTGCTCAAGAAATCCTTCATGAGGTTGAATTACAAGAACCACGTTTCATCAGTACACTGAAAGTCATCAATACAAGTAATTCTCATCAAGCTTTGGATCAAAAACAACAGTCTCATGATCCTGATCATGAAGATATTATTGAAAGTACTACGGATACTTGTACTTCGACTACCAATACTACTAACAAGATGAATATGAGTAGTATAAATAGTAATACTTCACAAAATGGCATTTATTATGATGGTTTACGTGTATTATCCTCGAACAGATTTGAAATCACTCTGTTTTTAAATCAAATGGGTGTTTTCAACTTTATGGATGATGGAAGTGTCCCTGGGGGAGCTGTTCTCAAACTGTCAGATGGTCGTAAACGTTCCATGTCGTTATGGGTTGAATTTATCACGGCGTCCGGCTATTTGTCCGCGCGTAAAATTCGTGCACGTTTTTATAGTCTTGTTCAACAAGCTTTACAGAAATCCAGCTATCGTGGAGTTGTACGTATGCTGGGACAGACAAGTGAAGTTAAATTGTGTATACGTGATAAGTATATTTTACAAATTACTCCAGGATTTCGTTGTAATGGTCTCTGGCCAAGATCAGCGAGTCATTGGCCAATGACAATGAGTTCGAGTGGTAATCAATTTGGTTATACAACAAGTGATATGACCACCGCCCCCACGACCACCAACACCTCACCGAGTACGCCTAAATGGCCATCCAGTCAATTGGTTAATGAAGTGAAACGTGAAGGATTTTGTCTATTAAGTCAAGAATCTGTATATACTAAAGATAAACAAGCGTCCGCTGAAGGTGACGCCTGGTTATTAGACTTCTACGACGCTGAAGAAAGATTATTACTTAGTCATAATATACGTAGACAATGTTTTAGTATATTAAAAACACTAGCTGATCAATATTTAACAGGTGTAAACACCACCGCGCCCATACCAACATCCTTATCCCCTTCGGCGTCGTCATCACCATCAACAATATCAATTCATCACAGTCCTCCTGTGATTCAAGAATACGACATTAAAACTCTTGTCCTTCATGAATGTGAAAAACATCCAAAAGATGAAGATTGGACGGAATACACTCTAGGGGATCGTATTAACGGAATCCTGCTACAGTTAATCTCATGCCTACAGCATCGTCGATGTCCGCATTATTTCCTTCCACAATTGGATATATTTCGTGGTTATTCATCCAATGGTATGGATATTACAGCGAAACAAACATGGGGATTATTAAGAAAATTATTAACTTGTCCACAAGCCCTTGAACATCTCTAACATACTTACCGCCATTAAAAAAATTGAATATTGATCATTCGACAGTGACTATTGAATGTGATTGAATATCTATCTGAGTGATGCACTCACTCACTCGCTATATATATATATATATATATGCGAAATTAAATATTTTTATTTAAATTATATGATGATGATTTAAATTTGAATCCTTTTTTATATTTTGAAAAATATTGTAAGTTAGATGTTGTTTTACTGGTTCCTTATGGGTTTTTCTTTAATTTTGTTTTGCATGAATTTGTACTTTAAGAAAGTTTACTGAATTCATTAAAAGTAGTATGATGAAATTTAAAGAAAATTATACGTTTATATATGTGCATATGCATTTAGAAATTTAATGTTGACTTTCTCGTTGACAATGTCACCTCCTTGTGCAATTGCCTTGGATGGTGGTGTTTAAGGATTTAACTTGAAGTAATTCTGGTGGATAGTGACTAACAGTGGATGAAATCCTTCAGGAAAAATGAACATGCCGTCCTATTTAGGACTCGTCTTCTGGGAAAGCCAAATTGAATTAGATAATAATAATAATAATAATAATAATAACGGATACCCGTTTGCAAAAGAGGTGGTGACTTTCGTGCCCCCTAATGACCCGAGCGGATAATACCTTGGCATATATGAAACTATGGGTACTGCGTTTGAACCCCGGTGAGAACACCACAATTAAATCATTGGAAAATGCAGGTACATCCATTATCTGATGAATCCCAAAAAGGAAGAAACGCGTGTTGTCCTGCGGGGGGGTCCCATCCACGAAATCACATAGAAATTGCCTTACTTTGGATCAATAACTTGTACTATAATTATTTGCTATACATCCTTATTTCAGACTAGACCACAGATTAATATCAGTTAGGTAACCATTGAAAACTAGTAATGCAGTATCGTATCCTAGTTCGGGACTTATCGGCAGTACGTATCCAGTGGATTTTGAATGCGGGACTTTCTGGTTACAAGGTAAGCAAGCTCATATACCATTCAGCTACTGGGACCTGATTATATTGGCCAACCCATGAATACGCGATTTAACCCGACCACCAAACAATGCCATCGGCGGGAAATCCATCCATCCTCATTGCTGAATGGACAGATCTCAGTAGTCATAACTTTTCAGTAGAACTCCAGGAAACTCCATCCTGTTCAGTAACAAGTCACTAGGGAGCATTAGATTACTTTTCAAAAATTAGTTTGTCGGGATTCTACTTGTTTTTAGATTAGACCACGGAATGATAACAGTTAGAGAGACATTGACAACTCCCATGGAGTACTGGAAAGCCAGATGTTTTATTCTAGTCATTGATCACTGGATCAGGTCCCAGTGTGTGAATGGTATACGATCTAGCTTACCTTGTAACTAAAACAACCTGGGTTCGAACCCTAGCAGTAGCTGCACAATTCTGATGAGTCCTAAAGTAGGACGAAACAGCTGTTCATTACTCGCTGTAGGTTCGCAATGATTCTTTAATTTTCAAGTATTGGTTTTGTAGGGATTTTGTTTGATTGCATGGAGGATTTAATCATGAGCTGACATCAGTTAGAGAACCACTGGAAAACCTGGGAGTACTGCCAGACAGCTGTTTCGTCCTAGTTTGGGACCCTTCAGCAGTACGCACCCACCGGGATTCGAACCCAGGACCTTCTGGTTACAAGGCGAGCTTGTTGATATCAATCCGTGCGTGGTCAAACTCAAAAAACATAAGTTAAATAATTAAAATTACTAAGTGTAATAAACAGAACATGGGTAGTATTAGTAGTGGTATAAGTACTATTCTACAGATATTTCAGGTCAAAGGTCAAACTGATAAAATTACAAAATGTAATAATCATGAAGGTCAGGTAGGAAAGACATAATAAGATCATAATGACTGAAATAACTTGACTGTTTCTACAAATTATGGATTAAGGAAGTAGTAATAACAAAATATTTAATAGTTGGTTTGTAGGGATTTGATTGGTTACAGGAGTTTTCATCATGATCTGACATTAGTCAAAGAATCATTGGAAAACCTGGGAGTACTGGACAGCTGTTTCGTCCTAGTTTGAAACTCTTCAGAAGTACGCACCCACCGGGATCCCAACTCGGGACCTTCTGATTACAAGGCGAGCTACGTAGTAGACCATTAAGCAACTGGGACCCTATGCAATGGCTAGTCCATGAATTCAAACTTCTGCCAATTCACCTCATTGCGCGACCCCAGCCAATGTCTTCGGGTCCCAGTGGCTTAATGGTATACGAGCTAGCATTGTAATCATGAGGTCCTCAGTTCGAATCCCGGTGGGTGCGTACTGATGAAGAGTCCCAAACTAGGACGAAACAGCTGTCCAGTACTCCCAGGTTTTGTTCAAAGGTTTTTTAACTAATGTCATATCATGATGGAAAAATCCAATAACTAAATAGGTAAGCAGATAAGACTCATGAAAATAACATTAAAAAACACCAACGAAATCTAGTGATGCAGATAGGAATTAAAAGCGTGAAAAATAACAAACAGTCACGGACAATAGTCCTCTGTCAGGAGATATAAATCAATACCGTTCATGAAGAAATGAAATCAATCCACTTCATACTGAAATCTGAATAAAGCTTGATTCCACATTGTATTTTTGGTACATGTATGGAATTTTCAGCATGTGATATAGGCAGCTCAAATTTAGCAGGCCGAATTAGATATCAGGTGTGCGTCGGCAGAGGATCGAACCTCGGACCATGTGCATGATAGGCGAAAGTCCTAACCACTGTGCCACCAACAAGTTGAGTATCTTGTACAGAATGTGGACAACGAAATCTTCTCAGCTAAGTCAAGACGACCCATTTCAGCTGCAAGTCTACTCCTTTATTTTAAATCCAGTAGATTGATTTATGTTAGCCAGTGAATGCTTTCGATTTTGAATCGGTTCACTTGATTTTGGAAACAGTAATAGTCTGTATAGTTGGAGCAAGACAGCCTGTGTGACGTGCCCCGGTAGCTTAGTTGGTTAGAGCGCCGTACTTATAATGCGGAGGTCGAGAGTTCGAGCCTCTCTCGGGGCACTGGTTTTCATCAGCCCTATCAGTGTCAGTCTCAGTTTCATTATATACAACCCAAATTCATCACCAAAATGACACCCTCCTCAAGGTAAATATTGAACAAGTAACAGCGGTTGTGTGTATGTGTGAAGGGGGTGAGTATTTTGTTGAGGGAGTGGGCTATTTAGTACATTCATCACACACTTCAGTTGGATGAGAAGGGGACTTCAACGAAATCCTGTTGCACGTGGTGCACTCATGTTGTTAGTCGCCTTAGAATTTGTAGTGTTCTGTCATTTAAAGTGACAACGGCACCTTCTGGACATCAGGAGTGTAAAAGTGAGTAAGTAGGAAGTCCAACAACCCAAGTAAATCTTCGCTTCAAAGTCGTAATATCTGGTGGATTTTAAGGGCTTATTTTTGGAGTTTACGATTTTCGAGGACTTTAGAGAAATTCTGGTACGAGTTTAGCAGTTGCAAACATTCTACGACAAGGAAGTGTTCTCGATGAGTATTGAGTGAAGACAGTTGTTGATGCAGGTCTGCTGTTTGTTCGAAGTGTCCTAAGTGAAGTGACACGGCAGGGTGCCCAGTCTCTGATCGGTATAGTAAGTAGCACTGACTTCATATTGGAGTTAAAAATCCGAATCTTATTTTCATTTTCATGATGAGTGCTGTTGATCCCCACACAGACTTGAGAGTAATGAAAGCTTGTATTGCTTTTCCGATCCTCGTTGCTTTGATGTCCTGATCAGTTTCTTTCGCCTGTAGTTGGAACAATACTTCCCAAGTGGGTCAGTAGGTGGGTATGTTTAAGGAGGTTGCTTCTTTCAGATTTCTCCCATTTATGCTGGCTGATTGTTGTCTGTTGTTGTTGTTGTTGCTTTCACTGTTGGCCAGGAATCTTCATCGTCTCTGTGTTTGCTCTATGTTCACCTGAATGCCTATCTTCTCTGGATACTTCTTCTATCGTCAGCTTGTTGCTTTTCACTTGTATATCTTCCAGTTTGTGGGAAAGTCAGACACATATATCATCATGGGCAAAGTTCGGATCCTCCAAGTCATTTGTGTGGATCCATTTTATGCCTGTTTCCTCGTTGCCCGCTGTTTCATATCTATGCATGTAGATAATTATGGACAAGGATTTGGTGTTTGGGATAATGTAGAAATTTTAAATAGAGGAAACACCAAAAATGAAGTCAGGGAATTTCTAGAAGGCTGATTGGTACTCAGGTGAATGAGAAATTAACCAACACTCTACTTATATGTTTATGTACATGGAATATTCTAGATTAGTATTTATTAACAATATTGGTGTGCTTCCTAAATACTATTGATTTGTTAAGTAAGATCACAATGGAATTACCACAGTTCATTAAAGATGCTTAAGTTATAATAATAATAATAATAATAATAATAATAATAATAATAATAATAATAATAATAATAATAATAGAATGGCAAATAGAATATCAAATAAAATTAAAGAAATTTTCACAACACAAATTCAGGATTATTCGAACCTAGTTGGTCAGCGGGGTAACGACAGTGTCTGAACTAGCTTCTTTTGGGCACTATGAATAGATTTTGCTTGCCCTTTACTAAAACCAACCACTGTGGAGGATGATGTTTTTAGAAATCTGACAATAAACACGCCTAGTTGTGCAGCCTAGTCAACTTACGGGCTGCACAGGATCAGTCAAATCCGTAGATATATACACACATAGAAGAGGCGAAATTACGCAGTTTATCTCTAACTCCTGAACACAAAATGAGGATGGGTGATTTTGAAGACACAGCATAATTCAGCAGCAGCAGGGAATGCTCTTTTTACCGCCGTGTTCCTTAGGCGTTGTGCTAATGTCTCATTGATGTTATGCCCAAGGAAGTAAAGTTGTAAGAATTAGGCCTTCCATCTTCACAACTGTTTATGCTTTAACCTGCCGTTATATCTTTGATTCATATTCTTCTGGATGAATTTTTCTCTGAAACCGTTCCAACTCACCAACTGTTTAATACTATTAAGCTCTTCATTAAGACATTCATCAGAGTAGATTGCTCTTACTCTTACGGTGTGTGGCGGACGGACGAAGCACTTTATTACACTGCGTTTACATAACTTGAAACTCACGAAGTCAGAAGAGGAAATTATCGGAACGCATATTCTCTGGTCAATTCCTTATTCTCCAGATGTCTGAATGAATCTTTTCGGTAAATTGAAACACATTACAACAAACCGAATTTACCAACTAATAAAAAGTAATTTAATTGAATTAATTTAGATTTTCC